AGCAGAGGATGGGCGTGAGCGGCCGCATTGCTGCCCTCCCTGCCCTGCTCCCAGCGGCGCCTGGAAAACCACCCCAATCCGCCCTGCACCCACGGGAGCCCCACGCCACGTCCGACGGGGTCTTTGCTGCCCGTGGTGTCCCCAGGTGCCACATGAAGCCACCGCAGCACTGACCGAGTGCTCCTCTGAGTCGGAGGCCTGCGAGGCAACGATGGGGTTGAAGCTGGTGGGGGACAGCGGGCCCAGCTTTTTCCTCATGGCTCGGATCTGCAGCAAGGCGCGGAAAGCTGCAAGACACGGAGCGCCAAGGGGTGAAACTGCCAGGCTTAAGCACGCCCGAAGGCCACCCGTCGCCACCACCCGTGCGCTGGGGCCTTACGCAGGCGGCAGATGGGGCAGTTGTTGGCCTGGTAGCGCAGCGTGTCGGCGCACGTGTTGCACAGGCAGAGGTGGCGGCAGGGCAGGATGAGGGTGTCACGCACGTCCGAGAGGCACACGACGCACTCGGCGCTGTTGTCGCTCACCTCGTCCTCGGCCACCTGGCCAGCAGGAGACACGCTCAGCCGCCTGCGGGGTCCCCAGGACGGGCACAGAACGTGGATCCCCCTGCCGAAACACCCCCTTGTGCCCCCCGCACCTTGCAGTCCTGCGTGTTGTACTTGTTCTCTATGCCGTAGATCTCCTGGAGGAGGTAGCTCACGCCATCCACCTGGAATTGCCAGCGGGGAATCATAGAATCGTTAAGGTTGGAAGGGACCTTTGGAGATCATCTAGTCCCACCCCCCTGCACACGCAGGTTCACCCAGAGCACAGGGCACAGGGTGGCATCCAGACAGGTTTTGAAGATGTCCAGAGAAGGAGACTCCACAACCTCTCAGAGCAGCCTGTTCCAGTGCTCTGTCACCCTCACTGTTAAGAATTTTTTCCTTAAGTTCCTGTGGAACTTTTGGAGCCTTAGTTTGTAGTGAACAGTAGTGAGGTGACCCACCATGATATAGGCCATGGAGGGAGACCCCCCAGTGAAGCGGAGCAAGCAACGGGCACGACTGCTCCAGCCACCCTGGGACGCCCCTGTGCCCTCCCCGTCACCCATCCCGGCCTCTTTCCCACCAGGAACAAGGATCCTGTGAGGACACACTCACCACTTGCTTCTGCTTGAGGGGCTTCACACAGAAGGTGCCGTCGGCGTGCTGGGGGGCAAGCGTGCGAGTGAGCGACGCCGCGGGGACAAGGACGGGGACCGTCACGCTGCGCGCTGCTGCCCGCCCATCCCCTGGGAATCGCAACCCCCGCGTTGCCGTCCAAGTGATTGAGCAGCCCATTTTCCAGCAAGAGCCAGCTTTTCCCAGCACCTCATGACCCGGGTAAAGGTTGGGATGTCACTCTGCTGGGGCACACGGTGCGTGCGAGTGAGCGACGCCGCGGGGACAAGGACGGGGACCGTCACGCTGCGCGCTGCTGCCCGCCCATCCCCTGGGAATCGCAACCCCCGCGTTGCCGTCCAAGTGATTGAGCAGCCCATTTTCCAGCAAGAGCCAGCTTTTCCCAGCACCTCATGACCCGGGTAAAGGTTGGGATGTCACTCTGCTGGGGCACACGGTGCAAGAGGATTTCTTGCTTGGTCAGGCACTTGTTGGACGAACAAAGAAAGTGTCAAGAGCAAAAGCCTCAAAAATGGGTGCTAAAAAACTGAGCACCTTGGGGACATTTCCAAAAGGCAGCTGAGTTCCAGGAGCTGCTTGGAATAGCCCAAGCCAAGCCAAGTCCAGAAGGGAAACCAGCAGCCCCAGGCCAGCACTTACCTTCTCGAAAGTGGCCAGCAGCACGTGACAGTGACCCATGTGCTCTGCAAGACACGACGAGGCAGGCAGGGCTCAGGGGAGAGCAGCCCTGGCACCTGGGGCTGCCCGAAGCCAGGAGCTGCAGTGCTGGCTCCCTGCTGCGTTGCCCTTACCATCCCCTTCATCCACCACGGCGTGCACCACCATGGGGTACACCTCCCGCTCCAGGTCGAAGCCCAGCTGCAGAGGCAGAAGGAAGCAGTTACGTGCAAGAAGCAGCAGGAGGAATCCCCCTCGCCAGCTCCTGCCAAGCCCAGGAGCAATCCCGGGCTGAGCACGTCCCCGTGGGCTGGTCTCCAGCCCTGCAGCTGGCCAGGTTGCCACTGGCTCTGCATTTTAGGAGCATTTCCACCACCACCTGGAACCTCAGGCGGGTCCATGTCACCCTGAGCCCCAGGGCTCTGGTGCCGATTCCTCGCCAGGGACTTGTATCTGCGAGAGGGAGGGCTCGTGTGCTGGGCACGTGGCTGTACCTCCTCCTCCGGCCACTCCGAGGGGTCCACGGTGTGCGAGGGCATGCAGAACTGCTGGCACACCCCCCGCTTGTAGTGCGCCGTCTCCGACTGCAGGCTGTTGTCCTTCGGGATGTAGCTGCCCGGCGGGGACAAGACAAGGTTAGCAGCTCCTGCACCAGCTCTCCGAGGTTGCAGTCCTCATGTCCGTCCCTCGCTCACGGAGACGCTGGGAGGGCAGGAGCTGCTTCCCCGCTACCCTCCCGGCTGCCTCTCAGGGCCACTGGGGCGAGAAGCCTCTTGAAGGGCTCGGGAACCCACAGCTCTCCTGAAGTACCCAGCGTTCAGGCAACTGACTTGATGCCAAAGGGACACAGGGAAGGATTTCATACCCGCGACATGGAGATAACAAGAGGCAGCGTGATGGAAATAGGAATAGGAAAGAGGCAGCTGTCGATGAGGAGGGACAAGGGACTACGGCTGCAGCGCAGTGACGGACACAGCCTAACACCTGGGAGATAGGTCCAGCAGCACCATCCCAGGGTCCTCACCTCGCCACCCCGTTCTGGAACTCCTCACTCGCCTGGTAGTAGATGGTTATGGCAACACGGGCATCCGTGTCGAAGGTGAACTCCACGTTGTAGTGCACCTTCGCCTTGCTCACCTCCTCCCCTGGCATCTTCACCTCCTCCGAGCACCTGGGGAGCAGCGAGCGTTGGGGACGAGCAGGGACCTTGGGGACCAGGGGCACTGGCTCGCTTGGACACAGCGCAGACGGCAGGCATAATCCTGAGCCTTCCTCCCTTGGCTGCCATCCCTCATCCTCCCTCCAATAAGCCTTCAGAAAGGGCAGGAGGAGGGCGAGAAAGTAAATCCTTCAAAGGCAGCGCTAAGCTCCATTTAATCCCACCGCCCTGGAGAGCACGGTGGAGAGCGCACGGAAAGCGCTGCCCTGCCTGCAGCCATGCGGGAAACGCTCCCGCGCCGGAGATTACAGCGGCACCGCAGAGAGCGGATCACGCATGGAAGGAGCCACCCCGCATCCGGGGCCGCCGGCACCCGGCCGTCCTCCAGCAGCGAGGCCAGAGCCACCCGCAGCCCCGTGTTCGTGGCTCGTGTTGGCCCACAGGGACAAACTGCCCCGCTGTGAATCAGCCCCTCACTCCGGCCTCAGGGCACCCCACTTACTTAACAAGGCGCAGGGTGTCCTTGCGGATGTTGATTAAGCTCCTGAGGGTCTTCACGGGTTCCTGAGGAGGCGGAGCAGCGTAGGGGAACTAGGAGGGGAGAGACGGGGACGTGCTGGTGGGGACGGGCCTGGCACAGCCGCCTGGCCCGCAGAGAAGCCCCTCAGTGCTGCAAATCTGCTCTCGCCTACCTGCCGCATCCCTGAAAACCACGACATGCGGCTTAAATTGCCCAAGGTTTCCCCTCTCTGTTCCCCTTCATCATCACCGCTGCGGGGCTGATGTGGCTGGGGGGCTTTCAAGGTGACACCTGCAAGTGGCACCACCCTAGAGCTGCCCTGATTTTCTGCAGGGGATCAGAGGTGCCCTGTGATCTGGTGACTCTGGTAGGGGGTATTTGAAGGCCCGAAAAAGGTACATGTAATTATAGAAAAGGGAACAGCCTAACCAAAGGGACAAAGCTGCGGGAGCAGGGCACGTCCCTGCCTCAACGGAAGCAGAGGCATGGAGAGGGAAAAGGCGCACGGAATGCGCTCTTGAGAGCATCCCGCGCTGCCCAGAGCATCCCGCGCTCCCGAGGCCGGCACGGGCAGCCGCTAACACCAGGTATTTTTAGACTGCTGATGCAGCAGGGAGAGCTGATGGACGAGAAGGGGAGAGGGAGGGGGAAGGCGGGTGCGAATTCACACACAGCGACAAATCCTGCTGCTTTCTCCCGATGACAGACGGTGTTCGGGATGCAGGGGGGTCTCCAGCCCACCCAGCCGCTCCAGTGGGCAGGGAGCCCGGCCGGCAGCATCCGCAGGAGGGCAAGGACAGCGGATCCGCTCCAAGGTGACCGTGTCCTTCCCGCTCACCCGTGGAGACGCTGCTCCTTGGCAGAGCGATGCTGCACAAACCCCAGTGCAGCTGAGCGTCCCCAAACTCAGCGCACAGCCAGCTGTCACCTCTGGGCTCCTGGGCACCCCCACACAGGCTGGTTTCATTTGCTTCTCTGGGTTTTTTTTCTTCTCTCTTTTTTCTTTTTAATGAAAAATTCTGCAAGCCAGATTTGCACCTCACAAAGGGGCTATTTGGAGAACTTTTTTTCCACCCACCCAATTTAAAGGAAGCTGACAAATAATAGGAAAAAAACTTTCACCACGAGCATTGGGCATTTAAGAACACTATAGGCAAATAGCTGTATTTTGGCCCAGGCAGGTTTCCGTTAAGGTCAATAAATTCATAAAATTAAATTCCCAATCTGCCAGGGCTTGGGAAACACTTTGGCCTGACGGAGGCTCAGGGAGGGACACAGTGACGTGGTCACCTTCCTGTGGCACTCGCACATGTGGCCAGGCAGGAGCCGCTCACATAAGTCCTCCATGGAGGAAAGGCTGCAGAACGCAGCCCGTATATTAGACATCGGAGAATCCACTCACTCCCTCCCCACTCCTCTCCTTTGCTCTTCTGGGCTTTCAGGAGAGCAGATGTCAACGCGGAGGGCACAGCTGAGCCCTGCTCCCACGAGGAGGCTGGAGGCCCTGCCAGCCTGTGCCCATCCCCGCGGCGTCGGTCCCTACCGGGACAGGGCGGTTGCCCAGGAAGTTGAGGTCGCTGTTCTCGCCAAAGAGGTAGCCCTCAGGGTGCGTCGAGTCGAACTTCTCGCCGCCCATGATGAAGTGGTTGGCAAAGTAGTTCCCTGGGGAGAAGAGCCAGGGAAGGGCCACATGAGCCGAGGGAGGCCACAGAGATGCCGGGGGGCTGCAGAGAGGCTGGGAGCGGGGCAGGAACAAGCTCAAAAGAGCAGCACGAAGCCAGCGCAGCCGCCGCCGCGGGGACGGGGAGGAGGCAGGGCCCGGGACAGCCCTCCTGGCAGCTGTCCCCAGCCTCCGACGGGCACCACGGTTGGCAGCGCATCCGAACCCGGAGCAGGTTCATTTCAGGGGGAAAAGTGATCATTAATCCCTGGCACACATCAGGGACAGCTCCCCTCCGGCGCACGCTCCAGGATCATGGGCTGCCGGCTGGGAAGCCAGGCAGAGCACAAGTGGACAGAGTTCTGTCCGTTCTCAGCCTTTCCCAGAGCAGAGCCCTGCTGAGGGGATGGATTTTGTACAGCCAGGCAGGAGGTGACTCCCGCTCCATGACATCCAGGCTTTGACCACCCTGGAAAATGCACCTCCGTGAGCTATGTGAGCAGGATGTGTGGACTGGGACTTTCCATTAAAAGTGAGAAAATCAGAGAAAAGCGGGAAGCAAAGCCAGATTGGGGCAGCAGGGAGCAGTCGGGAAAGGCGAAAAGGGAGGACGGACATGGAAGGAGCTGAGCCGAGACATCCCGGCAGCTCACGGCGCAGGATGTGGCGCCAGGCACGGGATGCAGGATGCTAAACGCTCCTGTGCTTCTGCCCTGCATCCCTGTCCCTCCTCCCAGCAGGAGCGGACGGGGATGGAGCGAGGAGAGGTCGGCGCCGCAAGCAGGGAGAGCGATGCCAGGGCCGGGCGCGTTGGCACGGAGCCGCGGATGCTGCCACTGTTTAGGAAAACTCGACCATCAATTATTGATGCCTGCTGCTTTCTGGTCCCATTTTCCATGTACATAATTTATGGGCAGCTCCGCGGGGAAGGAGGCAGCCGCATGGAAAAGCCCCGCAGCCAGCGGCCGGCGCGGCCGCGGCCCAGGCTCAGCAGCACCGGCCGAGGCCTCTGGAAAACAGGAGCTGTGGGACGTGCGGGATGGCAGGACACCCATAGGGACAGGCACCCGCAGGGCCGGGGGGCACAACCGGCCATGCCAAGAAGCCGCCTCCATCCTGAGGCTTTCTTTTCCAGGCCGCAGCCCCGCCTGTCCCGGAGGAGCGTGAGCCTGTCAAGGACAGTTAAATCACCCAGGCAAAGCCAGGCTTTAATGAGAGCTGCGACTTCAGGGGAGCGGGTGGGAGCGAGGGCAACGGAGCCGCTGTGCAGAGGAAGCCCCGAGCCGCTTCCCTGCCAGCCTTGGGATGTGCTGGCTCTGGGACGGAGCCTGGCCAAGGCTCTCGGTGCCGGCCACGCTCGCCAAAGCGGCCGGGGTGCCCCTGGCTC